CTTTTTTCTTTGTTGTGAGGACAGGCGTGACAACTTCCACCCTCCACATGTTGGACCAGAAACTGCTCACCACCTCTTTTTGTACCACCTGTGAGCTAAAGAACAATTTCTACTCTTAAAATGGTTGGGGAAAGTCAAAAGAAGAATATTATTTCATGACAAGTGAAAATTACATGAAAACCAAATTTTAGCATCCATAATTTTTATTGGAACACAGCCACGCTCATTTATTTGCTGACTGGTTAAGGCTGCTTTCACGCTACAGAGGCAGAGTTAAGTATATAGTTTTGACAGAGACCTTATGGCCACAATGCCTAAAATATTTATTATCTGGATTTTTTACAGAAAAAAATTATTTTTTCAGTCCCTGCTCCCTCTTTCTTAAAATTTATTTGTATTTTCCATCTCCTTTTCTTTCTGTGCTACATTCTGGGTAATTTTGTCAGATTTACCACACCAGTTTATGATGATCTTTTTAGCTGTATCTAATCTGCTGGTTTAGCCATCATTTTTTTCTTTTCTTCAACAATTTTATTTTTAATTTCTAACATTTTATTTTATTCTATTTCTAATCTGTGCAGCACGTTTTGATCATCTCTTCTTGACCACTCGTTTTGTGTTACCATCTTTTATTTCTTTAAGCATTTCATACATATTTATTTTATATACTGTATCTGATAGTTCCATTATTTGAATTCTTTGAGGTCTAAATCTGATGTTTCCTGCTTCTGCTATTAATGCTGGTTTGTTTCCTTATATGTGTTGACCTGTGACTGTGATCTTGTATTTGGTAGTTACAGTCTGTGGTCCTACGTTAAGGAGGTCTTGTCCAGAAAGGATATGTGTTTGCTCTGCTGAACGCCAGATGACTCTGACCTGGAGCACTAGTGCCTTCTTCCAATTTCTCTGGTTTAATCTGAGTCTTAGGTTCAGTACTTCACTCTTTCTTTGTTGGCCTAAGACTTTTTTTTCTCAATTCCAGTAACAGTATTAGAAATGAAATTGGTTTCAACCTAAGGTTTACCTGTCTTTCCCATTTACAGGCTCTTCAACCTTTCTTTTCAGCTCAGTTTTCTTTTTTATTCTTCTGGCCCTCAGGAATTCCCTGTAATCTCAGCAATACAATAAAGATTAAAAGGTTTTTTTTTCTCTGTGCAATCTAGGTTTTTTGTAACAAGAGGGTTTCCTGGCCATCTAATCAGCCGTATTGCCAGAGCTGGAGTCTTATCCAATTCTTTCTTCTTCACTTATAACTAATTTTCCCCCCCAATTGCTGGTTTATCTCCTTCCCAGGACCAGGTAAGGGAATTATTTCCACACTTTCTGTTGTCTCCTTTCCTTCATTACACCCCTATGCCTGCCCCTGTCTTTAGCACCCACTTTATTCCCTTGATAGATAACCAAACTTTGAATCAATGGTGATGGTACCTTCTCTTTGATGAAAGGAACAGCCGTTCTTTGGTTTCTTGCCAAGGATAGGATTTAGCTGTGGCTCTTTTCAAGCATCTTGGGTCTTGTTCTGTCTCCTCCCATTTCTAAGCACATACAACCTCTATTCCCATCTCTAACCCATTTAAACATGCTCTCTTTATTGACATGGTTTAATTTTTATTTACTGACGTCATTATTTCAGGTCTCTCCTGTAGAATTTCAGTGTTCTTTCTTGCTCCTTGGTCTCCAGAGTATGGCTTAAAGCTAAATGCTTTTCATCCTTTGTTTATATCACTGCCCACATACGGTTTGTCATTTTTCAATTGATTAGCTACTTCTGCAGCTGTTGCCATCAGTTACAAATGGCTTTAGATGCAGAGACAAGGCAAACAAAAATACTTTGTAAACTGTAAAGCCTTGTACAATGCTAAGGGCTGTTCAAGGATGAGAGAGAGACAGTATAGTTTAGGCTTCAGCTGAGGCAACTGCCCCTGAATTTGATGATGCAGAAAAACTGTCTTAAAGGCTTCTAAAGCTGAAAAGTAACCTGTACAGGAAGAGAAGTCTGAGTCTTTCAAGGCAGAGGCGGAACATCCTATTTAGGAGCTGTTGCCAATTTGATTATTCCTCTGTTTAAACAGAGCAAATCCATTTTTATCAAAGACTGAGGACAAAAGAACCACTGAGAAGTCCTCCAACTTGGCCTTCCAATGGTTTCCATCTCTCCCAATTTGTTACTGTGCACAGAGACACAGAGAATAATAAGAGCATCCACCCATGAAACATGGGGATGAGTAGAAATACCATTGAAATGAGAAGCCCGCGCACCGCAATGGTATTTCTTTTAACTTCTGATTGACTCCTAGCTGATTAATTCTAAGTAGCCAGGGCAGGGATTCTCATTCTTATCCCAAGCAAGGCATGACCTATCATTTAATCTCGTCATTTTCCTTCACGGTATCCGGGTTGTAGTCGAGATTGGATTGAGGCTCCCCAGCTCCCTAGATCCTAGAAAATGAATCCATTGTCTTATTCACATTTGAGTTGTGCCTACCTGGGCAGTCTTCTGCAAAAGTCCTCCTGCATCCTGGATCAGAAGCTTTCCTGCTTTGTAAAGCTCTCCAGCAGAAAGTCTACATCTTCATTTCCATTTCTGCCTCTAACCATCTATCCTTCCAAGTCTTCCAAATGTGGCTTTGGAAGGAAAAAATCACTTAAGACCTGGCCCTCAGAACTTACTTCTCCTAACTAAAACTCGTTCCTCTCCCCACTAGACTATAAGCTTCCTCTTGCTAATAGGATCTATGTCTTTTTCCATTTGCACTCCAGCACCTACAACAGTGTCTGGCATATAGTAATCACTTTATGCTCATTCAAAGAGTGACCAAATAAATGAATAACTATTGATATTTCTCTTAACGGACATTAAATGAGTGAATACAATTAACTTTTTAATAATGGTTTTATTTTCTATTTCAATATTACAGACTGATTTCTAAATTCTCCCCAGAGTAGAGTGAGCCCATTTTAAAACAATACTCAGGTAAGTTTCTGAATTATAAACTGTTTACACATCCTAGTCATATATTCACCTTTTGAAAAGATGCAGCTCTACACAATTGATTCAAATTCATCTTCTCTACATGTTTCAACTGTGTATGGACAATTCTTGTTTTATTTGCTAGCTCCTACCACCCCCCCCCCACCACCTTCAGTAGTCTACCTGGAAGAAGGGATCCATTTTTGTATCACTTTGTTCAACTTCCATCACTGGCTTGACTATAGAATACCTGCTGACCAAAGGTGCACACCCCTGGATATGACAGCGGCTATGCTGGATGACAGAAGTCAGGTGCTCCAACTCTGGGAAAACAGGACTCCAAGCAGAACTAAAAATAAAACGCAAAAATGTGAAAAAAAAAAGTCCAGTATAAGGTACAAAATGAGGTGAGAAATCCTTTGAGCTCATTATATCACTGTGTTGCCTTTTAATTAACATTCTTAAACCTCAGACTCATCTGCTAAATACAAATCATTCATTTAGATATGTATTACGTGCTTATTATGTGCCAGGCACTATTTTAGGAACTGGGGGCACAACAGTGAGTAATACAAAGTACCTCTCCTCATTGAGCTCACATTCTAGAAGAGGAGCGATAACGTATATAGGATTAGCTAGTGACGTGTGCCGTGAAAAACCACAGAGCACTCACATGAAGCACTTAAAATAGCACCTGGTGTTCCAGTAGCCAAAAAGTGGAAACAACCCAAATGTCTATCAGCTGATGGACAGATAATGGAAATGTGGTATATCCATGCAACGGGATATTATTCAGGCATAAAAAGGAAGGAGGTACTGACACGTGCTTCCACATGAATGAACCTTGAGGACATAATGCTAAGTGAAAAAAAAGCAGAAAGGTCACATATTGTATGATTCCATTTATAGGAAATAACCAAAACAGGCAAATCCATAGGGACAGAAAACGGATTAGTGGTTGTCAGGGGCTGGGACTAGAAGAGGATGGGGGGTGGCTGCCTAATGGGTATGCGGTCTCCTTTTTGGATGATGAAAATGTTCTGGAACCAGAGTGGTGATCATTGCACAACATGGTGCATGTATTAAATGTCACTAATGGTAAATTTTATGCTATACGTATTTTACCATATTAAAAAAAAATAGTACCTGGCATAGTATAAGCATTCAATAAAACATATTTTCTATTTCAAAAATATCTTCAAACAGGAAATTAGCTAGGTAAATAAATTATTAAATAAAATTTTAATCACTGGAATGCTATGCAGCCTTTGAAGGGAATGAACATGATCTCTAAGTACAAACATGGAAAGATGTCCAAGATGCTATTTAGTGGAAAAAAAAAAGCTAAACATCAACATATATGTATTAAGTACAATTTATGTTAAAAACTGCATATAAACGCGTGTTTATATATGCCTAGAAAACACCTAGACCAGAAGGATACACACAGAAAAAATGAAAATAGTGGTTACCTCTGGGGTGAATAGACAGGGGCGGGGGGGCGGCAGGGGATGTTTCCTTTTTGTACGTTAACTCTTGTGCATTGATTGTGTGTGTGTATACGATACACATTTTGAAGTTTTTACATGATGAGCTCTGAGTTAGGAGTGACATGGCAGTCAAAAAAAATCCGAAGTTGTTCACAGGTGGCATTATAAGAAATACAGAATCTAGAACGAGGAAGGTAATTACCAATCTTGAGAAACAGAATCTACTGGCTTCATACTCCTTATGAGGAATAAGACTTGACTTGTCACTTTCTCAGTGTAAAAATCCTCCATACCTGGTAGTGGTTTCTGCCAAGTGATCAGAGACATGGCAAGTTCTTCTGCTTCCCAGAGTGGCAAGCATAACGCAGGTGCTCAAAAAATTTATGCTTAATGTTCCCCAAATCCCAACTAAATGGTAAGACATACGATGTTTTGAGTTTTTGTTCAAACGTTCCCCTTAACTTGCTAAGCTTGTCTTTAAAAATAAAATTAATGTAGGAGCATAAGACAATAGTAAGAAAATCCATCCACAAGTCTAAGCTCTTTAAAAAAAATCATTTTATTGATCCTTTACCATACAAAATTTATTCAAATTACACCCATTTGAAGTGGTAAGATCACAGCTAGAGAACAGGTTACCCTGTAACAAATCTATTTACAAAATCCATCATAAAAGCTTTTTTTTTTTTTTTTACATTATATTACATATTTTCTTCTTTTAACTAGCATACAACACAAAGCTAAACTGATTAGTAGTTTGCCTGCTCCCAATTTTGGGAGAAATACTTACTTTTGACAAAATCACGTACCCCATAGGAAAAGAAATTCCCACAATCTGACAGTTGCCACCCGACTCACTCTGCAAGGCATCTTCCTTCAAATCCCTCCTCTTGTACACACGAGTTGTCATGCACACGCTGAGTTCTTACTTTTCTTTTTCCTGAAAGCTGAAGCTTTAAATACTGCAATTGTATTTACAGATCTACACTTACAACAGAAATGAACACAAGAACGCAACAACAACAACAACAAAAACAAAACAACACTCTTAAAAAATTACAAACCAGCTAGAAAATATTCTGGCAGTGTTTACAAATTAATTGCTATTTTTGTACAAAATTGCTAGATAATGAAAATATGAGTAGGCTGCGTATCAACTTAAATAAAACGATTGCTACGCACAGATCTGTACATATAAACACACACCTAACACTGTTTGACAGCTCATGTGTTGCTCTTTATACAGTTTACTTTCTAAGGCTCACGCAGTCATAATACGCACACGTGTAACTTTTAGCCATTTCATGTGTGAGCTTTAATAGCAGCAACTCAATGGTACCAGGAAACCTGCATACTCAGTACTTAAAGTAACGCAAATACTGTAGTACTAACCCACTTTGTGTGCCAGATACTATGTAAAAAATAAAATGACTAATAATGCAAACAGAATACAGTATGGACGTCTAATTAATGTACACCAGTTAAGCCCATTAACTGGGAAAACCTTATGCATGAAGGAACTTGTAAGACTTATTAGGATTCCTTTCATTTTTAAAACAATAAATACGGCATCACGTTACGAAAAGGTTTAACGAGAAATTCAACCAAACACACAAACACCTAGTCAGGTGAGCTCAGTCTTTAGACTTTGGGAAAAAATCAGCTTTTGTGCAGCTGGCAAAGAGAATTACACAAAGCTGGAAGCGGAGGCAGCTAACCAGATGAGATAAATATGGGAAATGGGGAAAAGCTTGGCATAAATGGTTTCCCATACAGGAAAACACCCCACAGTGCATTTCCAGTAGGCACTTGACACAAAGCTCCCCCTTCCCCCCCCACCCCCCCAATGCTTCATCTCGGACCAAGTCCAGTGTGTGTATGAGGGGACGACGGGGGTGGGGATGGAGGCAGAAGAAAAGGGAGGATGATCTGCACCTTTGTTTTTCTTCTCAAACATACACCCATGCATACCTACACAAATAGTTTAAAGTGCTGGTGTCATTGTTTTGACCCGACCACCACTTTGCATATTGTGGAAATCTGCCTAGACTAACCCGGCTAGGGCTTTCGCGGTTTTGTTTTGTGTTTTTCCTAAGGGATATATTTGCCATTCAATTGAACACGTGAATCGAGTGCCTTACTATGTGCCTACCGCTGTGTTGGGCACATAGCATTTCAATTTAACTGTTCTTTGTGTTGAGGTTTGTTTTTTAGATGACTCCCTCATTCCCACAGTCTTTAGCATCCAAGGAATGGATGTGAGGTACTCTGCCACATTCCCAGCGGGAGAGGGCCATCTCCCCCTGGCCAATGGGAAAGCCATTCTTGGACAGAACTGGTAGGATTTGCAGCTGTCACGAAGCCTCCAACTTGGGACACCATTCCTGAAGAGTTAAGGGGAAGATGCCCTGGCATCCCGTCCTGCTTTTTCTACATCCCTGACTTCCCTTGGTCCAGCTCACTCCTTCGTAGCGGGAGGGGAATGGGAGCTGTTCTCACCAGCGGAAGTAAATGCCACTGATAGAACCCTACTCACAACGGGGGATGTCTTTCTCCCCAGAGGCCTCTCCATCTGACCCCATCCTGAGAAGTGGTCTCCCTGAGTGCAGTATAAGAGAGCCCTTTCCCCGGTCACGGGGGCCCGGGAAGCCCAAGGACGGAGGGATCCACACCTGCTGCTCCTTGGGGCTGCTGTGTCATCTGACCTGGTTCTCCTTCCAGATGGGCCGCCCCTGTCTGCGAGCTCCACTGGCTCCAAGCGCCCCCTCCTGGGAAAGGAAGCAAGATGGGGCAAAGCTTCTTGCAGAGGCTGTTAAACCTTAGATCACACACGTTTAGATGCTCTGATCAAGAGAGGTTCTCTACCTCTGCTTAAATAATTTGAATTAGCAAAAACTGCTTCAAAGTAAACAATTAAATTGAAATGGTGATGGGTGCCACAGGAATGCTTAAATGGCAGCTTAAAAAAAAAAATCTAAAATAATCCACAAAGAACTCCAAAGTAGGCATTTGCTACAAATCAACTTCAAACTTACGAATACATTGGGGGCAGGGGAGTGGAAGTGGTTTATGGAGACAGGAAAAATCCACAACAGCTCAGAGGGGCAGAACTCAACTATTCTTCTGTATCTGCGACAAATACTTGAAAACAGTTTCTTCATCTGAAAGGCTGTGGAGGATCTCTTGACCTCCTAGTGGGACATGCGGTCCATAGCTTAAACTGAATTATGACAGTAATTTAAATATTCCTAAGAAGAGCTGAAGAAATCCATTTCATACTTTTGCATGACTTCAAGTTTACAGTTCCTGCAGTTCCATTCCAAATTAGCAGACCCCAAAGACATGCATTCTGCGAAGAAGGCACGGCTTGAAATGCTATTAAGGAAGATTGCTGTTTGCGAGTGGGCCAGGTGGCCAGACCCCAGTCTACAGCCCATCCGTCAGGCACAGCAAGCCAGTCCAGGAGGGAGGGAGGAAAAGGACGGGTGAGAGACACCTGATTGCACATTTTCTCACTTGCTGACTCATCCAGGAGATTTTGGAGCCTGGGGCGAGGCACGGCTTTCCCAAGGGCGCCTGCAACTGTGCGTTTAGACATTTTTTTTCTTTTTTTTTAATTCATTAAAATGTCAGCTTTGTTCTGAAGTTTGTAGTTTACTTCATGATACTATCTTGGAGGAAGAAGGTAGGAAGGGACAACACTGCATGACAGATGTTCGGTTTCATAATAAAAAAATATGGGTTTATAAGGGAAGTCCACACAAAGCATAATCAGCTACACATGAAGTCTTCCACCAGCGGGAGCTTTTCCAGATCGTAAGCATCAAAGAGATCGCTGATGCCTTCCTCCTCCCCAAGGCTTAGGAGATAGTCTTCTTGGAGCAGGGGGGGCAGTAAGTTCACAAATGGTCCTTCTAGGTTGGAAGGAATTTGGTCCTCAGTCTGCTGTAAAAGGTTGGCTGGGGAGGCCAAAGGAGAAAGGTTTGCCATAGAAATCGAGCAATCACTATGTCCTGAGTTGGTTGAAGCCAAGTCTGAAAGGAAAAAGTTGGTGGAAACAAGAAAATAAGTTAGGCAACAATCAAATTAATTTACGGGAAGCATGTACGTGTTGCTGTTATAAAAGCCTGCATACTCTTTGCTAAGGACAATTAGATGACATTACAGTATAGATCACCTCATGCTAACAGGCTCTGTGAGCAGTGACTCTGGTAAGCCTTTCTGTGTTCTTGTCTACTCACTCATCTTTTAAAATACCGACGGTTAGCAAACAAGAATACACGTAGCTTCAAAGATTAGAGGCTAACAAGCTAAAAACTGTCCTGCTATCAGTTAGTCATTCTGTAAAGAAAAACAAAAGAAAACAAAACCTACAGACTGAAAAGTTGGCTCCTTAGTAGAGATCACCGATTTTAACTTAGTCTTTTTTTGAACAACTAGCTTATTAAAGATACTTCTAAAAATACAAATAAAAAGACACATCCACTTTGAAGTTCTAGGGTGGAAAAAAAAAAAGTGGTCTTTTGTTTTACCGTTTGAGGTAGCATTTTTTTCTCCCCCTCAATATTAAGTCAGACCTGATCACTTAAATCATTCCTATTCTTGCTCCTATATCGGGAGGTAGCAGAAGAAAATTAAATGCATATCTCCAATCTGAAAAAAACGAAAAGACTGCAAAAAAGCTTCCCTCGCTGTGTGGACAGTGGAGGGATGCATTAGATTTATTTTCCTGGGGTTTCCCTCCCTTATTCTCTCCCCATCACATGGCGGGGGAAATTAGGATAAAACTTCTTTGGCAAAAGGCTCTTCTCTCCTAACTTTTTTCAGTTCCCTCTCCAATGATCTCTGCGGTATCACTCAGAGGTGTGCGGCCAAGTGTCGCTGGTGATTCACCCAGACAGCTTCCAGCTTCACTCCTCACTTCCGCTGGTTTTCCAAAACACTGTAAAGAAATGGTTTCTGCTGACGGCAAAAGCCTGTAGGGGCTCCATTAAGTGGGTGGAGGAGCCATTTGCCCTGAAGAAGATCATTATTTTCTTCTGCAAACTATTCAGAATGACTTTTTTGAAAAAAAAATGTTACCTTAATAACATTAATAACAGAAATTTTTGTTTCTTGCCTAGACTTGTGATTCTGATACAGGATCCTTCTAGCCACATTCATTTTTAACATAGTTTCCAAATGACAAAAGTGGAATTTTTACCTTTGGAAGTGGGTTTAGAGATATTCCCATTGTGGTCTTGGTTGTTCGTTTTCATTGGACTGTGTGTTTCAGTCTCTTCTGGACACAAATAAACCTCAATGGGTCCTTGGGTACTTGCCAAATGTATTTGTAGGCTCTATGAACAGAAGAAGTGAGATAAGTTCAAACAGAAAGTTCTTTTGGAAATGAGAGCTATAGTAATCTTCATCAAAAAATGGAAAGCAAGGGTAATTTTCATTGTTCCTTTTGTTTCTCTACTGGTAGTCCACCTCAATCAATGACTGTCATCCTCTAGAGCAGGGGTCCGCAAACTGCAGCCCGAGGGTCAATCCTGTCCACTAACTGGCTTTGCAAATAAAGTTTTATTGGCAGAGTCATGCCCATTTCCATTGTTTGTGTGTAGCCTCTGGCTGATTTTTTTTCTTTTCTTTTCTTTTTTTTCATGCTATGATGGCAGAGCTGGGCAGTTGAATAGTCCCAACAGACTGTAGGGCTCACACGGCCAAAAACATTTACTGTCTGGCTCTTTAAAGAAAAAGTTTGCTGACCCTTGCCAAGAGGAGGTGAATTTAAAAAATATATATATATTCCTTTTATGCAAACTGTTAGAAGGTCTTTTAAGTGTTCCAAATACAGTATTCCCATGTTATTATTCCTTAACAGTAGGGTTTTTTTTATGTTGAACTTTAATAGCCACTGGAGGAATAGTACTCTTAAGTGCTAGGAACTGAGTTTAATGAGAGAATGCAGCACACTAATATTTAAAATTCTTCTTTATCTAGGTCATAGAGCTATTATTATCATTTAAGGTGAGAACTCTACCCTAGATGGGAGCTTGCAAATTTCATTCTCTTTTTATTTTCTACACATTCTTTTACTACATTTCTGTATCTTTTATAGTCTAGGCCTATGTTATCAAAGTATATCTGAAAGCAATCACAAAACTATGCTCCTTATTTTCTTACAATATTCTAGTCTATCAATTAACCCGAAGTCCCATTTGATTTCTTAAAAGTAAATGTTTTATAAATGATAAATTCTTAAAATGTCCTAAGATAAGTTAGGGAACTACTTTAAAACATTTATATCTCTGTCCATGGTGGGGACCACATCCAGGGTAATCCACGTAAAATTCCCCACCGGTTCAAATGGATCAGAACTACCATATAACAAATTATGAGAAAGAGAAAAGACGAGAGGGACAGGGCCCCATATACCACTTTGAGTTGAATGCCCTGCTATGTTAAAATTAGAATTTTTGGACACTCAATACATATCACACTGTTGAAATGTTTTTAAAGTTAGGATTAAGTACAACAGATGGGGAAGAACTATCAAGCTTTTAGGAGAATACAGACTTTAACCAGGAGTCAATGATCCTTTAACACCAGGCATTCCCAAAAGATCTGTACAGATGAACGAAGACGTTATCTCCTTACCTCTATCGGGTCAGGCACTTCAAGTCTTGTTTCTGGAGGGGCTTTCACAACTATAACAGTTTGGTCTTTAAGGCCACTAATTTTTCGAATATCTTGATATGTAACATAAGCTAACGTAATGAGCGTTAAGGAAATCTTCCAACTAATCGTCTCGGATGTAACCATTATGAAGATAACAAAATAGATGCATGGAAAGATTTTTAAGTATTTTATTTCTTAGAAGAATATATCTGTCTCTCCTTCTAGATCTTTAAATATATGGGATCTTCCATGAATCTTCTTTTCTGGTTGTTATTCTAAACAACGAAAGAAGTGTCTAGCTCTTTTCTTTCCATTTCTAAGTTCATGGCTACTTAAGATATTAACATAAACACAGAAACAGAATAGTTAAAATAAACTCTTGAAAGAAAACTGAAACCCAATTTCGTCAGGGATTTTCAAACCAGGTTCCTCTGCAGCACAGGTATTGCATGAACTCCAGTGAAGTACTCTGTCACTCAAATTGAATGATGGCAGATCCCAATTCACAGAAAAAATTTAAGCCCTATTAACCCTAATTTTGTTGAAACACCGGTAACTTCTATCTGCTACTTGATTATTAAAAAGTGTCAGCAGCCACCCAAATGAATGAATGAAATCTATGTATCAGTGGAAGAACTCCGAGTACTGCTCAGGCAGAGAGCTTGTTTTCTTAAGTGTACCTGGGCTGGTTGTGATTATATATTGCCTACTGATAAGAGTGTCATTACTTCTCTGTTAGAAAGATTACCCTCTGTATGATATTATTAACTACAATATTTCAGTGTTCACAAGGAGGAAAGCAGCTTCCAGATGATCTGCAACCTAAATGATTTAGGAAAAGAGAGTAAAATAATATTTCAGTACTCTTGGTAGTTACTTCCGAGCACTGAACAATTCTTTAAAGTGCCCTGACAGTTAAACCTAAGAGGATATTACGAAAGAACATGGTACTTATTTTATGATAAAGTATTCATGCTAGCTTGCTTAGAGAGACAGGCTTTGACTTGGTACTACAAGAGAATAGGTTGCATAGCTTTCTTTCATAAGGGGCACGGAGTACCATAATTAACATACAATGTCTTTAGCCAGTTGCTTTTCATATTAACTTACAAAAAATGCCTAGGATAAAACAGCAAATCACAACCCAACAAAGGCATTTCCGGAGGTAATATAATGTAGTGAATAGAGTCTGTGATCTAACATGTTAAATACAGAAATAGGACTTAGAAAGCCTAGAGGAAATGATGTCCCTGAGATTAGTAGCTTTTTATTAGAAATTGAAGGAAGCTATGAACCTGCTGTCCAGAAAAAAAGCACATTCACCCCAAATCTGCATGTACATTTAGGGGCAGCTATCACAGACTAGCATCTTTAAGTCTCAGTAGTTCAGACAACAGCTATTTCAGTGTTGAGCTTGACAGGACAGCTCACGCAGGATTCTGGGTTTTAGGTCATCATCTGTTTCATCAAGGAAGCCAATTGCTGTCTTTACAGAAGACCTGACAGTTACGAATTTTTACTGAGAACAGTGGGGAAACTGATAACTAGGTACTTACTCCACAGCCCACTGTCAAAAAGCTATTCGACAACCACTTATTAAAATAAAACCTCATCTACAATTACCCAACGTGCCGCAGGAAGGAAAATTTCAACACATTTGTGAGCAAGCTGTACCAAATTCGGAACTGGATGGCAAACGGAAATAAATTGTGCAAACATAGTCTCTAATCTCACAGACTTAGAAGTGCTTCCATCGGGGCTCCCTCCTGAATTTGCTTCTTGGGTTAGCAGCCCCCTGCAAGGAAGCTTTCGTTTTCTGCAACAAAGGCACCAGAGAAAGCTAACGTAGGTGACAAGGCTGTAAGCTGCCCATCACATGGAACAGCCACGTCTCCTCCCCGAAGGGGCTCCCGAGTAAACAATGTAGGAAGCAGCCCAACGAAAGCTACTCTCATTTCTTCCAGTGTAAGCCCACTCTGGCCACCACGGGGAGGGGGGAGGGGGCGGTGCCCAATCAGCACGCCTCTTCCCCAGCTCACCAAGCAGCAGCTGACAAGGTTAATCCTTTGGCCAACAGGAAATGAACAATCAGAGTTTCCAAAAAAACCGCTTAAATTGGAAAATAAATGTCCCCACAACTCCAAGGGAAAGCCTACTAGAGATGAGACACTAGAAGAAACCGGGCAGGTCACATTTTATTTTCTGTCTAACGAAGATAAATGGGGAACTAAAATCAGAGATGAGATTATTTAAAATACTGGTTTTGTTTCCTACTAATAAGTGAGAAAATTGCAAAATCTTCTCGTCAGCATGATGAAGTAATCTCTCTCCTCTATGGTCTGAAGTGAGGTGATGAACAGTAAGTTCTCCTCAGGTGGTCAACAGACTGTCAGCCAGTTAAGAACAAGAGTTGGCTTTTTATATTTTTACTTCCAAGGACTAATGTTTGTGGATGAATGGATAAGCTGAGATTTCTTAGGCCTTGAGGTGTTTCTGAAATCAGTTTTTGGTGCTGTGATTCAGCATAATGTGCTTTAAAAATTATAGAATGATCCTTCTATACTCTTTCAATTCCTTCAACTATAGTTCAATTACAGATTCAACAAACTCCAGTTGCCCCCAATATCTGATGAAAAGCAAACAGAATATGAGAACCCCAACAGTGACAGCTAACACCCACCTAAAACCTGGGAAGCCCAAGATGAATCTGCTGTTATCATTAATACTGACACCTTACATATCTCATTAATAGTGTTGCCTGGGCTTCCCTGGTGGTGCAGTGGTTGAGAGTCCGCCTGCCGATGCAGGGGACGTGGGTTCGTGCCCCGGTCCAAGAAGATCCCACATGCCGCAGAGCGGCTGGGCCCGTGAGCCATGGCCGCTGAGCCTGCGCGTCCGGAGCCTGTGCTCCGCAAGGGGAGAGGCCGCAACAGTGAGAGGCCCGCGTACCGCAAAAAAAAAAAAAAAAAAAAAAGAGATACGATAGGATGCAGTCTAATGACTATCATTCCATAAATACTGAACACACACCTACACACACACACACGCTTACTTGTATGAAACGAGTAAAATTCTACCTTGTGCATAAAAGTCAGATCATCAACTCTGGAAATAGTCTAGAAGGCAGTAACCCCCGCCAAACAGGTGGCACAAAGGATATCTTTGATTCTCTGAATCCTCGGTTAACAGTTTGAGGTCCAGGGTGCAGCTTTGGATCAGTTCATCTAATTTCTTCTCTTCCTGACTGAGCTCGGTCACTTCTTTAGACAGGCCTTGACACTGGGCCAGCATGCCCCCGTCCTCAGACAGACTGCAGCCCCTGGAAACCCAAACACAGATTCTGCATGGCTGCTCGACAGGCCAAAGGGGAGAGGGCGAAAGGGAGGGCTGGGAGAAACGGTCCTTTGGGTAAATGTCCCCTCTTGATGCAGGAGGTCACACTGTTTGTTAGCCAAGTGTTAAAATTAGAATGTTTATACATATTTTTCCGTACATAAAGTCCTTCACTTTTCACACCATAGAAATTAAGTGAAAAAACAGTGCTATTTTCAGGTTTCTTTCCTCCAGAGGAGGCTGTTTCTTCAGAAGACTCAAATTCAAAGGGCCAAAGGAGGCGGCTCCTTCCTGCCACATGCCTCCCAGCGGGGGGGAAAAGAAACAGGGGAAAAAGGATAGAAAGACATAGCAAGATAGAAAAATTTGAAGAAAAAGATGGAATGGTTCAAAATTCAACCAAACGTCATCCAAAAAAAAAGCATGAAAGACCTAGGTAATTTCTGAGGGTCTTATACCAACAACTAAAAAGGAAAAGGAGGTGAAGAAAACAGGTATATGTGCTGGATGCAAGAACAAAACCCAACAGGTTTGTCTCAACCACAGGCTAAAATGCGTCACTGAATTGTCATAAAATTCCAAAAAAGTACATGTTCATTTGATCATGTTTGAAGTAATATTTTTTTCAAAGCCAACCCGTAACAGATTTATTCCTTCCAATAATGCTTTCATAGTTCCTTCTGATATGCTGGGTGTTCAGATGTTCTGTCCGTAATTCACAAATGACATTATCATACATTTAATCATACATGTGGGTGTGTAGATGACAAGTATTATCATCCCGGTTTTCCAGAAGGAACCTTGACTTAATTTACACAGAAAGTGAGTTAATCGGCAATGAGAACCATCAATAAAGATACCTGACAACTGTGCGTACACATACACAGCCACAGATAGTTTCTAAACTCCTATTAGAGACAAGCCACAGACCTGTGTAAGCATCTATTAGATTACACATGTGAGCACACACGTAGATATCACGGTGACAGATGACAGCGTTTTACTTTACAGATGCAGGGCTCCATTTAATCCCAGGATCCCCTTGCTTGAGGCTAATTGAATATAAACCCTTTTATCTCTGACAGCATCTAAACAGAAGGTCTCTTTGTAAAGAGACTTTGAACTTCTGGCTAAGGAGTTGAGGAGGGAAGAGAGAAGGAGAGAGACGTAGGAGAGAAAAGGAATGAAGTGTGGGCATGGGTGTGAAAGTTGGGCCTGGGAGAAACCCCTCTGCAGTTTGCAAGGACCCCAGAGCCAGTGAATTGCGGGCCCCGTGACTCATACTCACATCCACTGCACGTTGTTTTTAGACTTCTTCTTAATGAGGTGGATGCCTTCCAGTACATTGGTGATGTCATAAATCCTTCTCTTTTGCACCTTCAGCACCTCTGCTGCCTTGTTCAAATCCAAGACCCCATCAGGTGATTGGCTCAGTAGCTGAATGAACTTCTTGGTGAGCAGACCAAGTGATGTATCATACCGTGTTTTTTCTGAGGGAGATTTTGGAGCTTAAAGAAAAACAAAAGCCGAGCGGGTGGGGGGATAGGGGCAAAGGTAAAGAAATGAAGGGTTTCTTTGCAGTCAAGCAAGCCCCCATTCCCCCAGCAGCCCAAGTATTAGTGTTGGAAGCAAAGCTGTTGTCGCTGATGTTTGTGGCGAGTTATAGAAAGCTATGAAATTGCTTTATTAGGAAAGGAAGGGACAGTAAAAACTCCTGTTTGATTAAAGCATTTTACTGTGCATTTCTCAGTAGTTTCTACTTTGGCTTACCCTACTCCCTGGGGTCTAGTGAAGTATCCCACACATAGTAGGTGCTCAAAAATATCTGTTGAATGAATGAAAAAGTGCTGTAGCCTCATGGGATCAGCACACGTGGAGCCTAATTTGATGGGGTCTGGCTGTGAATCTCGTCAGCGTTTGACGATGGGACCCAGACAGACCCATCCTAACTGCCCTTTCAGACTCCAGTGTCTCTGTGTGTATATAACTTGTTCACCAACTTTTCAAATAATGTAGATGAAGAATACCTGGAAAGGTCGTTCAGTCCAGTCTCCCCCTCCCTCTGGAATGAACTGTCCTCATTTAATATTGCATTTATTCTCTTATAGGTGCACAGGTCAAGGGTTTAACTGAGTATGACACACAATTTGTGGATTGCCTAATTCATACACTACGGGATAGGAGAGGACAAAGTCTAAATTAATTTAGCCTTTGCATTAAATGCCAAAGATGTAAAGGACTATTTAGCTATTTCCAACCTACTTTTCTCTCTCTCCCAAAAGAAACAACGATTGTGCTTGATGGAAATGGAAACTAGCTGCAATTTACTGGTCTCAATCAATCCTTACGCTGCCACACGCTGAACTCGAGATTCAGGCTGGCATAGACATCACCTACACCCAGCTGGCCCTGGTCCCTGAAGTAAGGTCCATGAAGGAAAGTTAAAGTTAGATTTGACTATGGAACAGTGCCAAAGAGCTTGTATTCTGAGTTGAAAAATGAAACTGCACACATCAAAAGAGGCCTCCCCTGCAGTCAGTATTCAGGTATCGGAGGGACTCTGTAAACCTCTCACTGGGTGTCTGCAGACATCATATTTATTTTTTGGATAGGCACAGGCAGAAATGAAAAAGAACCAAACATGCCAAAATTATCCACACCTTGCCATCCCTTCAGCCACAAGCTCTGAAAGTTGGGAGGCTCACACCCAAGACAGGAAGAGATCACGGAATCCTTACTTTTTGGACTATCTGGACTTCGGAGCGCAGCTCTTCCTTTGCCCTTGGGGGTTTTTAAACCATCTGAGAGGTACTGCTGACCGCTTTCTCCTAGCTCCAGCCTGCGCTTTGCCTGGAATAAGAGAGGACAGTCGTTGGTCGCTGGTCATGTGGACGATCACAAGTGAAGCCGAACGCCACAGGCTCGCGCCAGCCCCCGCCGGCCCCCTCCATTTCACTCAGGGGCTCGGTTCCCTCCAGCCGGGGCTCTGGCTCCGGAGGCGGAGCTCTCGCCACCTGGGCTCAGATGGACAAATCCAACCATCCTTCAGGGTTGGGCTCTGGGGCCACTTCGTTCATTTACTCATTGATTCAACAGACGTGCCAGGCATGGGGCTGCAGACTAAGAATACCGCAGGCATCACGGGACTTAAATTCACGTTTCCCCAGCAAACCTCTGGTTCTGCCTCCATCTCTGACCTGGGTTGAACCCCCTTCCTTGTGCTCCCCAAACACTCTGTGTTTATGGGTATCATAACACTTGCTGGATGTAAGAGTTATTTTACTTATCTGTTTCTCATTTCCTTTAAGGCAGGGACTGCTTCCCATTTATCTTTGTATACGCAGGGCTTGGTACAGAGCCTGGGTTTCTGTAGGTATTCAGTCTCACACACACACTCTCTCTCTCCCTCTCTCTCTCTCTCTCTCTCTCTCTCTATATATATATATATATATATATTCAGTGAAAGAAAGGGTGATTGAATAGTAACACAACCGGTCACAGACTACAAATGCTCATTCATCAGAATAACAAATACCGCAAACACTCAATCCTGGGTTTCACCTAGGATTACGTTCCCCATTTGGTCATCAAACTTGGCAAACGAGAAGCTCTCACCCAAGTTTTTAATCTGATTTTTCATATAAAAATATGCACTTCATGTCTTTTATGTACTGGGCTCTGGGCGAAGGGAACAGAGGTAATAAGCAAGACAGACAAGAGTCCCTTGGTTCCTAGTGCGTAGAGTCCAGGAGAGAAGCCAGGTAATTATGAAATAAGTAACTGTTGAGTACTGACTGCATGGGTGTGAAGGGTGTTCAGACAGGGGTGGTACCAACTAGACACCCACGTGACAAGGTGCATTGAGGCTCATTTCAGGGCGGATGCTTCTAATGAGGAGATTCACAATTTCAAAGTAACTCCCCATGACATAGAAACTGAAGTAACAACTTATCAGCTGAACTTGTTCTGTTCACTAAGAAGCCGTGAGCCACAGGCAGCTCATCCGATCTGACACGCGATGTCCGTGTAAAACACACACTGGATTTCAAAACTTAGCACGAAAAAGGCTGAAAGAGCTCATGAATAATTTTTATGTTGATTACATGTTAAAATGATGCTGTTTCGGCTTTATAAAATATTACTAAATAAGATGCTATTAAAATTATCATTTCACCTTTCCGTATATATATATACGGAAAATATATGTATCTTTTTACTATGTGGCTTGCATTTGTGGCACACGTTATCTTTCTGCTGAGCAGTGCATCACCACTCCAAAGGCCTAGGAATGACAATTAGCAAATTAACTTTCTTAATTTCATTGTCTGCTCCCAAACACTCTTGTCAAATCCTTGAGTGGGCCTGTTGCTTTGGTTGGCCCAGTGAACATTCCTGCTTCACCAGGCAAAACTCCCTCCTTGTTCTTTGGGGAGCATCCCTTCCCTCTCACAGGCTAAGAGTGGCCTGCTGCACACAGGTGACCCAGGCCGGGCTGGTCTTTATGCTCCATCCTCCCCCTCGCCCACAGTGATTGCAGTCCTTCTGGCACAGGACCAAAGCTGGGTGAACGAAGGCAACCCCAGGAATTTTTCTGGAACTACTGGTAGGAAGCGGTGCGCCTTCTTGGTAAGGTTGATAAGCTGGTAGCCGGAAGCTACCTGGAAATGAGGCCTCCCCAGGGGAAAGCAGAGTGGAGAAACAGAGAGAAAGGGGTCTGAGGCCATCATTCAAAACTCTGGGTCAGGTCATGCAGTTGGCCTCCCCCAGACTTTTCAGTTACATCAGTTACATTAGCCAATAAAGTCTCCTTTTAGCTCAAAGCACTTTGAGTTGGGCTCCTGAAAGTGTGGGGAATATGTGACAACCTGTGGAAATGGCTGAGTCAAGACGGGCTCCAGTGAAATGGGGAGCTGGCATGCCTTGCTAATAGCAAGGGGCCAGGTGTGTTGGTCACTTCTTTCCTGTGGCCTGCAGTAAATTACTACTGATAGAGTCAAGCTTTGTAGAGGCTCACCTAAAAGTAGAGAAGGAGAAAACAGCTTTGCTTTGGAGGCTTTTTCTCAGTAGAAAGCAATCCAAGAAGATATACAGCTGTACTCTCTGCCCCTGCTAAAGTCCACAGAAGGAAGGCAAAAGGGGAAAAGGGCTTGGGCCCCTGAGCTCCTGGCCCCTTAAGGCCTGCACTCTCCCTGCACCCTCAATAAAGAACCACCCACTGGCCAGCAGCCTGGGGGCATGTCCTTTGTGCCTCCCCAGTGCTCAGCTACTGTTTCAAATTGCTTTGAGGTTAAGGCCTGTGGCAGCAATGTGCTGTAGGCTGGGGAAATTCCAAGAACTGTTGCTAAGAAACTGCGATCTAACTTCAAGGACCAGAACTAGTCAGGTTGTGTGACTTTGGTAACCAAGCACCAAACCCTAGAGTTGACAAATCTCAATACTGGATAGAAAATCTACTACATTTGAAAGGCACCAGAGGAAGCAAAGGCCTATGAGACCTCAGTCTTTAAGTGAATCAATCCCTAAACCTATAAGACTCATACCGAAAAGAAATGAGCTGTGAAAGAAAGGCAGCCCCAGAAAATCCTCCCAGAGAGTAGAAATCGGGGTGACCATCTTGGAGTCACAAGCAAGCCACATCTCCAGCAAGTCTCCAAGTGCCTGCTATTCCTGTTGGGGGGGACATGACATGCTCCGGGAGGTGACCACCGTGTGTGATTTCCTCTTTTCCAGAAGGATGTTTCTGTTGGGTTATCCTGTTACCTTTCCTCCACTGCTGAGTGAGTGGGGACTAACCTGGAACACATAGTACTTGTAGGTCCTAGATCTGACGATGGGCACTGTAACTGGACTTCCTTTTGGGGAAGTGCTATGATGAAGCAGCATTACCTTGATGCTTACCTTAGCGTGTTTGCGCACACATGCTTGTTAAAACAAACAAGAAGCCAGAAGGGAGGATTTAAACAGGGCAGGTAGTCTCTGCCTACACCCCCTTGCCCTGGACAGAGCACCAGCGCAGATAAAAATCTCCTCTTGGAATTCAAATTTTCTGCTGTTCTTTGTTGGCTCCTGAAGATATGTGTAATCCCCTGGTGTCATTTTTCCTCCGCCTGAAGAATGTCCTATGGCATTTATTTTAGTGTATGTCTGCTGGTGACAAATAATCTTAGTTTTATTTTTTCTGAAAACATTTCATCTTCATCTGTGAAGGATATTTTCAATGGATACAGAATTCTGGGTTGATTTTTTTTTTCCTGTCAGCACTTTCTAGAGAATGTTCCATGTACACTTAAAACTAATAATAATATTGTAAGTCAAACATAATAAAAAAATCAAATCAAAAAAAAAATCTCCTCTCGGTCATCTCAATTTTTGTTTGCTCTTAGTGTGAACATCTTGCTGAACGGAGCGCTGTCCTGTTTATAAACAGACCTTCCTATTACATGGCCCCTACCAGTAAAGCAACTAATATATCTGGTGCTTAACAGGAGGCCCAGCTGTTTGGTCCTAAGCAGGAGTAAAGGCCGAACATGAGTGATGCTCTATAGATCACCCACAGGGCATCTGCCTGAGCTATTATCAAGGGTGGCTTTTACTAGAAAGGAAGTATGTGCTAGCTATAGGACCTCAGCCCCAACTATGACAACATGCCTCTGCAAGGAACAGTTGCACTGTTACGCGTTTCAGAAAATGTACGTATGAAAATGATAGGAGTAACCGTCAGGCAGCCAAGCAGAGGGCCGAGGGGAACATCCATGGTTTCTGTCTACCTGGCATTTGTTGCCCTAATTTTTCATTTGGGGAACCTCTCCACAGTTCTTAGCTCAGGTGGTTTCTCTTGAAAACAAACAGGCTTGAAAACAAAAGGCCTGACACTGTTCAACATCTTAGGCTAGCCCTTACCATCTAGGTTACAGAGGTAAGCACCTTAATCTAGGCCCACCAATCAGTGTAGTCCAGTCAGCTGGCGAATGTGACTGGTTTACGGGTGGTTTACCCATGACCAAAGCAGGATGAATCACTCAACGATGGGATTTTTGTTGGAAAGTACAGGGTTCTTTTCACTGGGAGTTATCAGGCTGGTAGGATGTAAGCCCGGAGCTACCTGGGAACTGAGCCCACAGAGAAGAAAGCAGAGTTAAGAGCTAGAGAGAGACTGCGTCCCAGTGCCTTCAAGGGAGGTACGAGATCTTACCAGTCCCAAAGACAGATCTACTAGACTTTCATTTGTGTGAGGTGAAGAATTCCCTTTTATAGATATAGGCTTTTAGTATGAACCACAATGCACTCAACATCTGAGTGCTTACAATAGGTCATACGCCAGGTTAATTGCTTTCCACTTGACTGTGTTATCTTATTTTTACAACAACCCCATAAGATAGCTGTTATTATTATTTCCTATTTTACAGGAGAAAATGGAGGTTTAGAGCTCTTAAATAACTTTTCCAAGATCCCCACAGCCAGTAAACAAGCCTACTCCAAAGTCCGTGCTTATAACCACCCCATAAAATGATTGTGAAAGACTGCCATATAAAAAGAGTTGAAAAGTTATATTAAATTGATACCATCTTACTTTATGATCAACTTAAGTTTTATTTTATTCATAATTTTTAAAAAATCCTTTCCTTTACATAAAATGCACATGGTAATTCAAACAGCACAAATCGATATATATGGGTAGCAAACCTTTCTCCCAGGGACTTCCCTGGTGGCGCAGTGGTTAAGAATTCACCTGCCAATGCAGGGGACACGGGTTCGATCCCTGGCCCGGGAAGATCCCACATGCCGCAGAGCAACTAAGCCCGTGCGCCACAACTACCGAGCCTGTGCTCTAGAGCCCGCGGGCCACAACT